GCGGATAAAAATCACAAAAGGCTTTTGTAAAAATCCCCCTTTCGCAGCTAGTTTTATTTTCATTCGCAAAATGACCAACAATAATTCGCTTTTTCAATGCAAATAGATTATATAAACTGGTTTAGCAGCTGCCCGTGTATATTATTCGCTTAGTTTCTATTATAAGAGTAATGACGTAATAACAAGATGGTGGATATATAATATAGGGAACAAAATGGTGGACAGTGAGATAATAGTTTTATCAGGATTATGCAATATTATATAATATTTCCTGTTTGTTTTGGCATGTGCTCATTTCACTTATTTCGCTTATTACGCTAGATATATTGCATTTAAAAAACATAATGCCTCGGTCTTATGCGCAACTTTATCGATGAGGGCGTCACATAATGGACAGCTTCACAAAGGTTGCATGATCAAAGATATTACAGATTTTACACGGAATTTATATTTTAAAGCATCACATACGCATTTTGCCTAATTTATACAATTAACTTGGGGTAACAAAGAATTTCACGATCAATAAACTGATACTTACCTGAGAGCTGCATCACTAATCGTTGCACACACTATTATAGCCAAACGAACACACGAAATATATTAACTGTAATCACTTTTCAACGTTACAATGACTTATTACAAAATCTCGCACCCCATTAAGGTTTAATGTCGTGTTGGAGACCATAAAAATTATACTGTGGAAGGTGGGTCAAACGGTTACACCCTACTTCTTCCTTCAGATAGAATAGTACCCCTCTCCTGCCCGTTGCTCACGTAACGCGCATGTCAAGTGGGAGAGAGGTATCCGAGAGATCAAGTTTCAGTACATTTGGGGTTCGCATCAGAGCCGGTTCAGTGATTAATTTGAAAAGTATGGCACGAATTCAAAAAATACGTGATGTTTCTTAAATTGTATATTGTGTTGTATGTTTGTATAGTGGAATCATCAACACATATTTTTTGTTTTTTTTTTAATATTCCAGTAAAGTAAAAAAATTTACATTACGTATCTTGGATACTTTTTTTATCTCTTTACGATATTGAAAAAAAGTAGAAAAGAAATATAAATATCTTTTTTTTTTGAAATAAGTTAATCAAATATTTATATGTATATTAACAATGAAACAATGACCAAATGATTCCGCTAACACATTTGCGCAAACACAAAGTCAATTTTGTGAAACATTCCGTTGTTTTTTGTGTCTGTTAATGCAATGATGATTAGGACGAATGTATTTTTTTCAGCTAGCAGCGAGTTATCATTATGTGATTAGACTGCACTTTTTTTAACGCTTATAACTATACTGTGCTAAAGCAATGTAATACTTAGCCTACCCGCTCCTCTACTTTGCGAATTTTCTCAGATTACATTCTAGCTTATGGCGATTGACATATCAAAATTATACTAAACTCCAGTAATCATAGTTATATGATGTCTAATTCTTTTTCAGTATCAAATACAAAACAGTTTTTACCTATAACTTGTACTGTATGTAATTTTTTACTTTAATTGTACTAATCTCTGGAACTACCAGCTCGAATTTAAATTTTTTTTTTTGTTTTGGTTAGTCCATTTATCTGGGAAGCCTATGAGATATAAAACATCACGGTAAAATCATTGGTAGCCGAGCAGCGGTAGACACAGCGCGGCAGTAGCCAGCTGTAAATCTTGATAGACATCAATCGTATTCATACCAATAATTTACTTTCACTAATACCCGGGATACATATAGCTAGATTTTTAAGCTAAGATATAGTGAATAAGACGATGAAATTTTATATTTTTAATGAAACAAAAACCTTTGCTGGAACTAATGTAGCTGCGACTTTGTATATACTTCTTGAAAACTTGCTCCAGGCCGGGTTTATTTATCAATTTTCGTCCTTAAGAACACACATACATTGCTCTTAAATTTCAATTTTACTTCTTACGTCTTTATTAGTCATATTAATCCCCACTGTCTTTAATACTTTACACATTTTTTGTAGAGCTGAATCACTTTATAACTAGTAAGGGTGGCGTACAACATGTATTCACGGTCACGGTACAGTTGTAGAAAGTTAAAATTGTATTAAATTAGATATCAATAATACGTCGAGATAGAAAAACAAACCAAACGCAAGGTTTCTGCTTACTAGTCAACAATGAACTAGTTTCGCCGGCGACGTGAAGCTAATAAACTAGCCAGGATAGTGGTTCGGGGTCCCTACTCACCTGTAAATACATCTCCATTCTATTAGACCAACAACATATTAGAACTCTATCTTATTTTGAAGATTATCCAAGCATTGAAAATGTATTTTGTGATGTCAATTTTCTATTAACTATTTATAGTTAGTCTGCGAAATATTCAACAATACACGAAAAGCTCAAAATGTCTTCACTCTGTTTGCAGGAAGTACTTATCTGGTTTTGAGGAGTTAATATATGTACATGTTTTAAAATCGTTTTTGTTGTACGATACAGAATCGATTCAGGAATTTGATGGTATATAGTTTACTTATGAGTTCATTTATAAAAACACAATCGCTCTGTGTTTTTAACAAACTTCGTAGCGTATTTTACATTTCGCAGAAAAGTATGTATCACTCTTAGAAAAAGGTTTTTACTCAATTCTTATTCGAAGTACATATAAAATAGATGTTTATAATGCAATTTTCTTAAATTTATTGCTTGTCAAAGAATATTAATTATAACATATATGGATTTCACTTTTCATTAAATGATATAGTTTACCACACAGTATTTAGTATGTAAAATAAGTATTCCATTGATGATACCTTCTTTACTTCTCACTTCGAAGTTTCAGTTGGTTCGCTTAATACTTAGGAATGATGCTGTCCTAGTACTCGAGCGGGAAAAGCAAGATGGTTAACCTTACTGTTGCTAGGCAGTTTTGTGGATGATATTTGTAGTTTATTCGTGAGAATGTGCTCAGTATTTGTAATGTATTCATATTGAGAATTGACGCTTTTGAATCTAGTAATATGACAAAAATAACTAATACGATTTATATAGATGAAAATATCTTTTACAATATTTTTCTTTAAATGAGTCATGAATAAAAATTTTGCTAGTATTTAGAGTTGTTCTTTTATTAGTGGTACAAAGTCATCATCATTTCTAAACACAATAATTCCTCTCAAAATTTTATGTGAACAAAGTCGTGAGAAAAAGGAAAGGTGTGTGCTTATTTGGGGAATCAGCTGATTATGAATCAATTAATCTCTAACCCTCTAATAAATAAACATAGATTAGAGTAAGGATAACTTTACTTCATGGTTTAGGCTCAGAATAGTCAAATTCGGTTTTAATAAACAAGGAGTAACGTTGGACTAAGCTTTTCCAACGTTAGTCTGAGAGTAAAAGTTAGTCCTTGGTGCCATATGGTTTAGCGACGGTGTAAGCTTGGATTAGTGTCATTTTTACATTTTTTGATAGATATTTTTTTTTTTTTTATTGACAACCGAGTTTCCATTAAGTCTCCAATATGGTTTTGATGACCAGTATCGAGTGGTGTACGGCATTATCAGATAAAACCAATTTTATTATAAACTATTTCCTTGCATTGCATCATTATTACGTATATAGGTACGAGACTAGCTATGACTTCGTCCGCGTATTATAATGCCTTCTTAATTGTGTTGGTGTTTGTGCTTAACGATTTTTTTTTTCAATGATTTGAGAATATTCGTTAGGCGTTATCTTTCTATGGCTGAAACGTAAACAAATATAAACAATATGAAGACATTTTTTCTTTACCTTTTGTTATTTGTGCTAGTTAATAGCGCGGCTGTGCTTCTCGCACGTTTTTCGTTTTATAATGAATTTTGCCAAAAGGTTAATGAGTTTAGGGTAAAAATGGGTTAATAATGAGTCAAAATTAATTGGGAGGTGGATTTTAATACTAGGGAGTTCTCTTTAGAGGTCTAGATATTGGGAGTTTATGGAGCAAGAAAAAAATATATGTTCGAGGGTACCCTCGTCAAGACCACATTAAAATTAATATTATTCCGACGAACGTTTTTATACTAAACTGACAGCGACAGCAACTTGTCAAGTTTTAAACTAACATACATCTCTCAATAAAGCAATGATTTCATAGGTTTCATAGGATTTCATACCATCTTCACAGTCTTTTTACTTTTAAAATTTCTGGGTTACCATAATAAACGAATTAAACCTCGTGTAAGGATGATATTGTTATTCCGAGGTTATTCCATGTTTATCGAGTACCGTCATTATAGACACAATTATAGAACAATAGGTTGCGGTCACCGGTGACCGCTTGGTGTTTGACAGTTTACTAAGAATTCAATTCTGAAGTTAACACTTTGTTAGTCCTCGATTAGCTAGTCCAATACTAACCTGTGATTAAGTTTGGAATAGGAGATTTTTATTAATAAGACCGTAACAGTTATTGTATTTTTCTATCATAGTATCTACCACCAGGATTTTTTTCCTGATTTCCTCTGATTTTTTCCTTGGTAATAATGTACTTCTACGTAAATTTTCAAAATATTTAAGGGTACTCCAACATAAAAAAGCTGTGATCCCCTTATAAACATCGGCACACGTGATTTGAACAATTGAAAGGAAAGGCTATACCTCTATAAATAGCCTTTCCTTATATGCGAAGGACAAAGAGGGTTATGAAATATAAACGTGCATATAGCTCACTTGAATCGGTATTTGTGGACTAGGATATCATAATAGACGAAGGGATTCATTTGTATTACCTTAATGTCGCACACGTGTGTCCACTACAGTGTGTGTAGACATGTCAGAACATATCATCCTGTTACCTTGTCTATCGTATGCGAATCCTAATTGCTGTCATCTCATTTGGGGCGGAGAAAAACAGCAACCCTTAATAAATATATTGGTCCTTTTTACACTTACGCAATAACCGGTTATCTATCTCTCTTATATACAACGGGAGCCTTCGATTTTGATGCCAGGACGAATGATATCAAGTGTTTGAATCTCTTGATTACAAGGCACATTAGCGCAGTGGTTAGCGCGTCGCGCTCATAACGCGAAGGTCGTGGGTTCGAATCCCGCATGTGCCAATTGATTTTTTGATTTCACTTATAATATTTTTGAATATTGGATAACTCTAGTTACTGTAGGTACTATGCAATGATTTTAGAATAGTGTTCATATCAATCAGAATTTAGTAACTTTAATAGCATTTTGTGTACAAAATTTTCTATATTTCATTTAATTTTGTAGCTTTCCGAGAATCTAATAGACTAATCGGGTTTGAGCACCATTCAATCGATGTACTAAATACTGACTCCATAATTTATTGCGGTGTACATTTTTTTATAATATACACGATTTGTTAACTGACCTACACAAAACACCTTATTTTACTAATCACCTTATTTGAACCATTTAAGTGAATGATAAACATATTTTTATTAGTTAAGTTTGAGCTTGGTGTGTTACCTCACTTTAGGCTAGTAAACTTTTGAGGAAATATGAAAGCTGTTTTGGTTCGTGCTACCAACGCATTTTACGAGGTGTCACTACTGTGAACTTTACAGAAATAAATATTACTTGATGAATGATGAATGATAATGTTAAATGATATAGTATGCAATGACTGTAGTCCGTGGCGTATTTATAATATCTGCTTTCTACTACTTTCTAGCTTCACATCACATCAACAGCCTTAAAGTGGCTACTGCTGACCAAAGGCCCTTCTCACGCGGAAAAATTTTGAGCGTTAATGATTTCAAACTAATTTAGAAATTATTAGCCTAGGTTTTTTCACGACGTTTTCCTTTACCGTTTATAAGTAGTGTATATATAATTAGAAAGTATATATAACTCGATAGAAGTCACACTAAAATACAAAATAAAGATATTATATATCTAGGACTTAGGGCCAATTTTTCAATGCTAAGTTAAATTTTATCAGAGGAATAACTTTGAATTTTTGACAATTCTTCTATACTTCTACCGGTCAAATGCCAATTTTATTCTACAGCTAAGAATTATTAAAATCCCTTAAACGTTAACGTCATATATTACGTCACTGCTCACCGACGAAACTGACGTCATCCACGAGGAGCTGTGCACTACTCGCATTTCACTTTCAAGAACTTTATGCTGTCCTAGTACGTGAGCGGGAAAATGAAGACCGGTCAAGCGGCTAGTTGCTGCGACCGTTTTGTGGATGGTCTCAATAATTTAATATTACTATGTGGTGACAAAGTATTAAACAAAGTCGCTATCCGCCGTCTGTCTGTCCCTATGTATGCTTAGATCTTTAAAACTACGCAACGGATTTTCATGCATTTTTTTTAAATAGATAAAGTGATTCTTAAGGAAGGTTTATATGTATAATACATACATGTTGCACCCGTGCGAAGCCGGGGTAGGTCGCTAGTTTTTTTATAAAATATAAACAGATCTTTGTAAAATAGTCACTAACAAGCAGAAAAACTCAGATAAAAGTTTAGACATTGTATTATTCTATTTTCTTATGTAAAAAACAAGAAAAATCCTTGTACTTGTTGCTTTATAGTTATCAAATGTGTTTTCATATTCAACAATCAATAGCTGTCTATAGTATTTATTTACTGTTAAATGTTCAAAGCGATAATGTTTTAATAAGAAAAAACTGCTAACCAATGCCTTTCATTTACAAAGATAAATGTTAAACGTGTGAAGCGCCTTCGCCGCCCGCCCACATATCACTTACTTTAAGTGCTATCCTAGTACAAGCGCGGGAAAGCGCCCTGTTATAACGGCCATTTTATAGATGGAAGGTAGCATTTAGTCTTAAGTTTGCTGTCCAACTGAATTTATTTTTGTCAGAGCAATATATGATTTTTTTTAATTACATACAAATATTTTAAAAATTACATATCAGTAAGTAAGTAGTTTTTGGAAATTTGCAATAACATATTTTAATATAATTATTTATAAGAGACCATGAAAATAGTATCCATCATTTTCTAAAAACACATAGTACTACCAAAACCCTTCCGTAGGTGTGATACCATATAATTATGCCGCCTGTCCGCTTTTCACTAGCTTTCAAGTTAATTATACTTTATATAATTAATATATTAATAATTCTTCTCAATTAAACTTACAATGATAAGAAATCATAAAATATTTAAACTATCCTATGAATTCCCACAATGCATGAATAAACATTGGCTAGCCTTGTGATACACATAACAATTTTTTTTATCTAGCAAAATCTGAAATATGGAATTTACGTTAAATATCACGGCATCTGATTTATCCGTTGAGCATAAATCACGTGATCTTGTATAAAAGAAATGGCGTCTTCGAATTACCGATCTGTTATGATTATATTGTGACTAGTATAAAATGAAGACTAAACATTATTAAAATGTAAAGTCTACTGTCCAGTTGCTGATTTGTTTTTAAAACTTGGCTGTGATTTAACAAAATAAACAAATATGTTATAAAAATACACAAATATGTTTTCATACATGCTTGCGTATATTAAGAACTATGCTTGCAACAAAGTTGCATTGGACAAGTTACATTGACCTTGTAATCAGTCTGCCGCTATTTCACTTGCTTTAAAGTTATTCTACCCTGGTACAGGTGTGACGAAAGCAAGATGCCGCATTCTGCCGTCAAGCGATCTGCTACTAGAATAATTATATTTTTTTATTAATACTGTCGACCTCTTTTTGTTACTTTTAACTTTAACTTTACACATTACCCTGATTTAAATAAAAAATATCATAAAGGAATTTAGAAATTTTCTAAATTCTATTTATTTTCGCAATAGTTCGTTGAGCTTCGTCACGTCTTAATCTACGAAAATTAAAAATCTATTTCGTTCGTCAGTCAGATAATGAATACATTTAAGAAATGTATTCTTTTATTACTAAAACAATACTTTGATAAAATTGTCGTTTGTTTATGGAGGTCTGGAAGGTCACTACAAACAATTTTTACTTACATACGTCACTTGTTTGCTTAAGAAAAAATACGAGTTTAATGCTTTAAAGTTATTTACCAGAAGTTATAATTAAAAAATATCATCATCCCTATGAAAGTAGGCAAGCACATAAATTAGATGATCTAGTGATGGAATATTACGAACTAGTCATGAAATTGGAACGTGATGGTGACATTTTTTTTTAATGTTATTAACTGTTAATAATCTTCAGCAATATTTCGTGCAAATGCTATTGGATGAATGCATGTGCAAGTGGTTGTTCGGAGTGACATCATTGACCAATCGCAACAAAACATAGTGGGATACAAAAACGTATTTCTGAATTAATAAATAATAAAAGTAGTAAAAGCAAATGATACTAAGGGCTATAATATAATACGAGTACCATGCAATATTGAGTTCTTTACCCGCTTTAAGCGAAAGTGAACAAACTGTATACGCGATGTCGAGAAGAACTTCTTACGCTACATTTTCTCCTAGTAACCGATTCTATTTATAACGATCGGCTTCAGTATGAACGCTAAAAATCAATACATGTTACTCTGACGTCACAGCAAATGCATCTTCGCAGCCCTGCTGCTCTGATACCAAAATCCAGGGTTATTGATCTGGCACCGCTGACGAGAAAACTCGTCAAATATTAGCCACTACTGTACTGAAAGAATGATGATTGTACATAAAGCGATACATGAAAGAATGATGATTGTACAGAGTACAGATTGTAAAGCGATACAAGAGTTCGAAAATGTATAATTTATGTATAGTTGCTTAGCTAAAACTGAACTGCGATAACATCTAGATAATGGTTTTTACCCAAGTGGCGCATGGAACCCTAATTAAGTACCAATATTAATAGGATTTTAATCGATGTCACCATAACTTGTGTTGTGTTGGTTGAAATCGACCAGATTATATTTGTATCAAAAAAAAGAAAATGAGTAATATCTCAAATCAAGAAAATACTTTGTCGATGAGGGTATGGGTATTAAATAGCCTAATAAAATAAATTAAAAAATCAAAATAAAATAATATAATAAAAATAAAAAAATGGGTATAGATATCGGAAAAAAGAAAAATGAGCAAATGTACATTCCGATAATAATCATTCAGCTTCTGTATCAGACTCCGTAAATAACAACCAGAGAGCGGTGTAGAGAAAGTAACTTTAGTGACGTCACAACAGGGCCTTCTCCGATCTCTGATGCACTGGTATTACAGCTTCCAACATATTGATCTGCGTGCTTTCAAAGCTCTGCTTGTTGTAAACATCAGCTTTTTTATGAAGATAGTCATTTAATGGATCAAAAATTTAATAAAATAATTGTGTTATATGTTTAACTGAAAGTAGGTCATAAGTAACTAAATCAACCGTCTGAGTCTAGTAAATTAGTCTATCCATCATTGTACCGTCCTATGACACTAATAGAGAATTGCATATTTGCAACGAAATCGTTTAGGACGTAACGTAACAATCCGTTTTTTGATATAAGTGGTTTTCAAATAAGATTTATTTAAATAGAACTTCTTATTTTTCAGGTAATTCATCATGTTAAAAGTAACTACTTAGTTGCTGCAGTTTTAAATGGAGTATCTTTAATGGGTAAGAAGTTACTAAAGTTCCATATAGTAGTAATTTTGGATATTTTCACAAAAACAATATAAAAATATTTTATTTTCCAAAAAACAAAATTCAAAAGGGTTTTCGGCACATGCAGGACTTGAACCTACGACCTTCGCGTTCACTTTATACGCGACGCTCTATACTATCCAACTGAGCTAATGTGCCAGGTGCAAGACCAGTCGAATTTCACGATCTCTTTCGTCCCTTCATGTGCAACAAGGGCTACTAGCGCCCTGAAATCTTGCATTAAATCATGAGTAGGCTGCGGCCAGATGCGGAACTAACGTATACCACTGTTATCAAAACTACATGCCGCGTTATTTGTAACCTAGATGGCAGTGAGTCTTATCTTCCGACCAGATTAAGTACTATACTAGTAAAAAACTATAATAAAAAAAAAGTGATAGAAATTAAATCAGATATTTGTTGTATATATCTTGTTTTATGCACCGTTTAAAGTCACGCGACCTTTTTAATCTTTAGTCACAATGCTGTAATTTCAAGTAAACACATCAATTTTGACTAGAGGAAATATTTCGTACATTTACTTATTAATGAAACAAAATTAATCTTAATTTTGAAGTCAGCGATAAGTTCCTATTTTTTGCCAATTTTTGCTAATTATTATCAGGACGAATTCTTCTTTATGAAAACTCTTAATTTCACGAATTTTTAATTTTCCTGAGGTAGATGGTATGAATTCTGTTTTTTTTTACAGTAAAAAGTACAGTAGGCATGTAATTGAAATTCATAATTATTAAGTATTATGTATATGAAAAAACTCACGTTTCATGCATAACTCATTGCGTTATTATAGAACATTAAGTATCAAGTATAAATGTTAATTATCAATTTCATATTTGTAAACATTCTGAATTTCGTAAATAAAGCTTGTAATAATTGAACAAATTTGAACTCAGATTTGGCGTTGTTCCAACAATGGAATACGCTGCTCTACTCTATAATGAACTCAATAATATGGGAAAGTTGTTATACTTACAAACCAGATTTATCCATAAATAAAGTAGCACTTACTAGCTGTTGATACTTTGTAAAGAACCGTTGTAGCACAGAATGGACCCTATTCCTAAATTATACGAAGAGACTATGAAGGGTCCAGACAGTGATTTTGATTCAAGTGAAAACTCGGAAACATCAGCTTTTAGCTCAACAAAAGGCGCAAAGAAAGAAAAAGTCGTAAGAAATTATTATTTACTAGCTGTACCCCGAGGCGATAATAAAAAGTACTCTAGGCCAATTTCTTCTACATTCGTTTATTTTTTCTTTAGTTGTATAAAATAATATAGTACTTCTGACTTTTTATTTATTATTATTAATTAATGGTAGGCTCGCGCTTAACCATTATCTCACCTGATGGTAACGGGTGACATCATCACTCGATGTCAATACTTACCATGCCAATGTCGATCGAGGATACGATTCTTTAGTAGTAACCAATCAGAAAACGCAAACTACAATAAGGAATTCCACTACATAGCTGGTCGCATAACGAATATGTTTCCAAAATATTTTACTGACTGTACTTGATATAAAAATTCAGAATTCGTACTATCAATAACTGAGAAAATTAGGCATTCGGAAAATTAAGTATTCGTAAATTAAGAATTTTCATTCTTCCGGATAATAATAAAAATTAGCGACAATTGGCACGTGGAAAATTAAGAAATAAGAACTTACCGCTGACTTTTAAATTTTTGTGGGGATTCAAATAATCTATATATATATAAAAGAAAGTCGTGTTAGTTACACTATTTATAACTCAAGAACGGCTCAATCGATTTAGATGAAAATTGGCAGGGAGTTAGCTTAGAACCAGGAGACGGACATAGGATACTTTTATACAATACTTTTTTTACTTTTTTACCGAAAATCACGAACGGGAACGGGGACGCGCGTACGAAGTCGCGGGCAGAAGCTAGTGACCTATAATTAATGAACGTATAAACGTCGTAGCGTGATATATGTAGTTGTGAATGTGTAACGCTTTTCTTCATTTGGTAAAGACTAGTATTACTCTATTTTCTTTTGTGTATATTCTTTGATATTTGAGCGGGAGGTGTACCAATTAAATTAATGCACTTTTCGTATTTTATTGTATTTACGTAATTAATGAAAACAACTATAATAGTAATTGAAACTTATACAATTAAAGTCTATCTCAGGCTTGATATCTCTGGCAGGACAACGTATTCTATAAACATATTTACGTGTTTTATAAACATATTTGTAGGTATATATCTTGCTTCAGTTGGTATTTGTGGACTAGGATATCATAGCAAACGAAGTAATTCGATGCCACTGAAATTCGGCGCACACATGTACATGTTTCAGTGTGTGAATGTGTAAGAACGTATAAATCTTTTGATCTTGTCTAGCACATTTAATTTTCTATTGCTATCGTCTCATACGTATAATAAGAGCTCGTTTGTGGGCGGAACAAACCTGCAGCAACCCTTGTTGCATATTGATCCTCTTTACCCTTGTGCCTTAAGCATCTATCTATCACCTTCTTTCAGAGGATGCTAGGCATGGAGCCAGTGTTGAGAACCATACCATGCCGTATTTGGGTCCTTTGAGCACAAGGCACATTGGCGCAATGGTAGCGCTTCGCGCTAATAACGCGAAGGTTGTGGGTTCGAGTCCTTCATGTGCCAAATATTTTATAAATTTGATTTTCATTATTTATTTTTTTGAATTATGTTTATTACATTTTTGTTTCTTTTTTCTAATATTTGGAAACGATAGACATCGCTTTCTCTCCTTTAAAAATATGGAAATTTTTCAAAATGAGGTTATGCATTAAGTACTACAAAATAGGGTAATATATTTTAACTATTTAAACCTATTGCTTCAATTAGTACGTTCGCAGTAAGATACCCAGTAAGATACGCAGTAAGATACTGAATATTGAATTATTGAAGAACCTAACATAAGTTAACATACGAAAAATTCGTATTTACATTTATTAACACTTTACATCACATATTAAGTAAGCGAATAAACAATATTTAAAAAGAAATATAATTAAAACGCATTCCTTTTTGTTCGTTCGTCTGTTATCGAAAATGTTGAACTTTATATTAAATACGGGGCTATTTTGAGATATATTCAACGACAATTACCTAAGTTACGTTAGATTTTATAACAATTTTCTAATGTAAAACAATCTCGTAGCGCACAGCCTACGCCGTAGCACAATGGTTACGCCGTAGTACAATTGCTACGGCACGTTGCTACGCCCACAAAGCGATGTAGAAAGTATCACAAGTTAGTTATATAACAGTCGCAATAAAAATGGTTTCTATTTACACATTATTTGGTTTTTCAACTATGTAGATTAAACTATTTTTATTTATATACTAAACTGGGAAATAAACATTTCAATTTTTAGGTTTATTTCTATTAACATTTCACAAGGTTAATACTTATATCTGACATATTTACCAAATTTCTGTCATTGTATACCCTACTAATGATATACATTTATTTTTATAAAATGACCAAGTGCATAACTGGTGAAATTTCAATTCACACATTTAATATTTGCAACTTTACCCGCGGTCCCCTGGGATAATATATTATTGAATGATTGTAATATACTATCTACATATAAATTAAATTGCTGCACCCTAACAGGGTAATGTTCTGAATTAGTTGGCTGTAATATGTACATTATATGTTTATTATGTTTATTATTATATTATATGCTTATTATATGTACATTGTGCAATATGAATAAATAAATAAATAAAAAGTAACTTACATAATATTCCAGTCCATAATGTATCCTTTCCGAATTGAATCCCGATTCCTTCCGCCATTTTGATGTGATTGAATAACCAGAACCCTCCTCCCAATTCCTAACTCTCAAAAGGCTGGCACTTTAACGCCTCTGGTGTTTCGGTGTCCGTCCATTTCGTTTAGCGGTTTATCTCTTAAAAAACAAACACTACACAACTACACACACTCACAAACTTCCGCACTAATAATATTAGTAGGATTATGCAGAGTAAGTATTTTTACTGTTAAAGACATCTCAAAAACAATATTTAAGTGGCTTAAATAACTTAATTGAAAAGATTTCTTGAATTTAAAGTGTTACTATACAAATATCACACTTAAAATAAATTTGATGAAAACTGGACGCGTGCCAATAGAACTACTAGTATGGCAGAAATCAAAAAGAGTTCGTTGATTTGATGGAGTAGTCGTGCCGTAGCCTATACGAAAATTTTATTCATCTAAAGCTGTGGAGCCCAACTAAATGATCCATATATTGGTAGTGAAGAATTTTTCCATGGAAAGCAATGAGCATCCTTAGTCTCTGCCTACCCTCATGGGAGACAGGCGTGAAGTTATGTATGTATGTATGTAAGCAATGAGAATGTTTTACATAAACGTAAATCATACAATCATAAATTCACGCCTGTCTCGCATGTGGGTTGGCAGAGACTATAGAACGGCAGTTTTTAGATAACCCAGAGTGATTAGATGCTAGTGCAACATGAGTGACACGGACAATGTAAATTTTAGGAGCTAAAATGTCACCTTTAAAAATCGTGTAACGTATATTCTCTTGTACAATGTAAAAATAAGTATAATAATATTAACTAAGCTAGAAGTAACGGCTCTCTGTTTTAACTATGTTAATTGTTCAAGTGTAAGCTCTGTTTTAACTAAACCTTCAGAAAAGAGTAACGAATGGAGTTTCTTACTCGTTCTTCTCCATTCGAATCTACGTTTTGGAATGAGCACCTAGCTTCACCTAGCTGCACTGACGGACTGACTGACAGACTATTATTTATTTTGTATTTGTTGACATTTCAAAAGTATCAAATTATGGCTTAGTTGAAATAAATGCTTTGACTTTGACTTTGACTTCTGTTCAAGTGTAACATAAATAAAAGAATTTCGTTATTTCAGAAAACGCAATATCTTTATTTTACCCAAGCATATTACTACTATAAAATAGATGATCATGATGTATTATTTACAAATATAAAAGAACTACAAAATTAACTTGCAGCTGAAGAAACTTATAAGTTGCTTTAAATATACGTACATTTTCAGCTCAAAGTTCTTTCAAATTATGCTATCCTAGTAACTTGCATACGGTTGGCATAGCAACAGAGGTGGAATCGAGAGAGCGACCGCATCCACAGGTGATGCGATTCTTGTTACTGCATGGATTCTAGATTTCATGATAACAATTTTCATTGGAAAAAGTACGATGGTTATAAACTATTATTTTATCTTTTTAAAAAATCACTTGTATCATAGTCAATAAAAAATAAGAAGTGAAATAGTTGTACTGTATTACACTGACATCGTCTTTTGTCTAAATTTATTTATTTGAGCGACTTATATTTTTACTAAACAACTTGTTTGTCGGCTTTCATAAGCATTCATAAAGTTTCATTGTACACTATAGTTTGTAACAATCTATAATATAAACATATTAGTTATAAATAGTATCCTTATATAATGTATACAAAAAACAATAAAAGTGTACTATAACTAAATTACATACTTTTGCTACAAAATTAAGTACATCTAGAAAATACAAAAACCACTTAAATACCACGTGTAGTTGGGCTCAGCACGTTGAAAGTCTAGAGTGTAATTTTGAAAACTTCACTTGATTTATGCCGTGCTAGTGCTCTTGGCGCGCGTATCGATTTATTGTCAGACGAGTTTACATGCATTGTATTAAGCACTGACTAACGAAGAGATTTAAGTTTTTATATCTATGAGTAGATTATTAATATTCTGAGAGATATTCACTTATATTGTGAGTATATGTTCCACAATATAAGTATCGTACTTCCTGAACTCTTTAGGAATGGCTGGTAAACTCGCACACGTGTACAGCTGTATTAGTTCACAGCGTAAATGATGCACACATTTAAACACAAGTACATTGTGGGGAAATGAAAAGTGTACTTCCTTGCAAATATCGTGCCCTGGTACATGGAATCTATTTATAGATTTGTGATAACTGCAGACGTTCTATGACTAGGGCATGTTTAACTCTTTCAGTCACACTTTTAACTGGTTACGAATATATTTTATTCAGTTATACTGAAATGCTTAAAAACCAATGCAAAGTAATTTGATGCATACTTCAAAAATTGAATTTCTTAGAAAAGGTGGTTAGTTACAGTGACCACCAAGACGGAAAGAGTTAAGAATATATTTTTTATGACGGTTACCACAATATTATGAGCAATTTTGTCCTTTATATCTAAGAGTTGTTCGGTACATAACAAATTTTATTTGTATATTTTATGTATATATTTTCTGTGACTCCAGACTAATAGAAAAAGTACCTGTAAATAAATGACATGACATGACAATGACACTACAGCAATCTGATTTTATTGTTTAATTTTTGTTACATGATGCAATTATGAAAGCATCCACCAATTATGAAAGTTGCGACGTGTAGCGGGTTCGACTCCGACATGAAGTTACTCTTTGTGTGATCCAAAAATTGTTTTATAAGATGAGTATCATGCGTATGTGAAATAGTAAGTTTGTAAACGTCCAGGAGAAAATCATAGTGTCTTTAGTTTCCAGTCTCATGCAATATGCAGCCCAGGTCAGTCATTTCGTTTTTCTATTTTATTTTTCAAAAGTTGTTTTCTCGTTTAGTTTTTATAATTCCTCCCCTTTGTTAAATGTATTTATTTTATTTAACTTTCATAGATTTTATAGAGACGACACGTTATGTTAGAGAAAATGTTCATATCGAATATGGTACTATTACAGTTATTACACACCCTAGTAATATATGTTGCACTATTACGTACAAAAAATGAGAATAAGCTTTCGTAATTTATACAAATTCTTAAATTTTACAAATATTAATACTTTCATCATATCCACAAGCGTACTATATTTTCGCAAATGTTTGTAGTAATAATGTAAACACAATAAAATTGCTAAAATACACGTCACTTAATTTTAAAAGGATAGTATTTGTGCTACCTTCTAGAAATACCTCATACAATGAAACATATCAAAATTGAGTAGCGTAACAGAATTCAGTCGCAAACCTTTCTTATATTTCGAAGACTGCTTTGATTTAGCCATCTGTTTTTACAAACACCGGTATATTTTACAGTGCACATTTATTTTACACAAATATGAAACCGACTAGAAAACTGACAATTAACTCGTCGAGTACCGGTTTAGTAGACACAATTATAGAACAATAGGTTGCGATCACCGGTGACCGCTTGGTGTTTGACAGTTTAAAGCAAATTCTACGTTTCTTTAAATATCGACTGGCTTTTTCATCACACAGTTCTTTACAATTATGTTCGCCTAGTAACTTACGTTCGGTTGGCATAGCAACAGAGGTGGAATCGAGAGAATGGCTGCATCACTTATTTGTCGGCTTCGGTAATAAGTTCAATTAAGTACAATTACGTTTATAATAATTTAAACCTCTTAATTGAAACCTCTAAAGAAATATACATTATCATTTAACTAAAAAAAATACTTAAAAATAGGCTTAACTCGTTGAGTACCGTCATTATAGACACAATTAAAGAACAATAGGTTGCGGTCACCGGTGTCCTCGCGGTGTTTGACAGTTTAATTTTACATTTCTATAGCCGTAGTTGCTAGTTGTGCATATTAATATTATATCTATGGTTATTCACTTAAAAAAATTAACAATCTCACAAAAAATAATAAAACGGTAAAATGTAAATAAACAAAAAGGGGCACATGTGGGACTTGAACCCACGACCTTCGCATCTCAACCTTGGACGCGACGCTCTACACTATCCAACTGAGCTAATGTGCCCGTTGCAACCCCAGTCCAAATTCGCGATCTGTTTCCTCCCGCAAATGCAACTAGCTGCAACAGCGCTCTCGAGAGTAATTGCGGCCAGACACGGAACTAATTTGTAAAATAATAACCCCCAAAGTTCTAGGGTTAATGGAGTTTGATTATTAATTTGGACTATTTTTAACTAACTATTAGACTATTTTAACTATTCTCAATTTATTTCATGTATTTAATTATGGAATAACTTATTTCAATTTAGATTATGGTCCATTTAATTGAAAATTTCGATGATCTACGAAAATGAATGTCCTGTCAATTTAATTAAATTGTTCACATTTAGATTAAACCGCCATTATCCAAAAATTAATCTCACAAATAAATAAACTAAGTCAGAAATAAAAAGACATATTATATTATACTTAATTATAAACGTCATTACTACGTATAAAATGTACATAGAAGTGACGTCACACGACATTTCAATTCAATATATCTTCGAAATTATTCGTTTCCGAAAAAAAAATAAAAAATACGTGTCTAATGTTTTTAAATTGTTTACCAGACGCACATATATCTATAAAATAAAAACTAGTCACATACTCTAGCAACCGCCGATTCTTCACTGGGTTCAACACTGGCACACCTAGTGGCGACTTTAAGTTTTGCAGTTGACTGGAGGTAGACAGTGCGAGCTAAATTAATGATTATTCTTATTACCATTAGAAGCTCTAAGTATATAAATTTTGAAGGTATGTAGATTATGGTAAATTAAAGTAATCTTCAGAAATAAGAAATAAATAACATAACGTCTAAACTTCCCTGCCTGAAGGGATGTGATGTGAACCTGTAGATTAGCAAGCTATAAATATATTAGGAAGGTACTTATTTCGGGGCAAGGCGAAACTCTAACTTCCGTCTCACGGAGACCAAACTCATCTCCCGTTATGTCCAAGACTCAACGCCCAAACGGAATGTAGGAATGTCACAGACGGATTGTCTTCTCCAGTTATTGTAACCATGAGCAGCAGCGTTTTTTGCGAAGTGTTTCCTATCAGACCAAACCTGTACAAAATAAAATGGGTGTTAAGATTTTGTTCATTGCATTCCTTCAAGAAACCATTTTCTTGAAGAAATTTGAAGTTTTGGTCAGTGTCCGAAAATGTTACAAAATAGGAACATAAACGAAACTTTGTTCATATTTCGTTCGTTAACGGAACAACGCATTTGAGAATCATAGTCCCATTTATTATTAAAAAAATAATATAGAAATACTATCTGCAGTAAACTTACAAAAATTCCCTCCTCTGATTCATAAAATGTATACACTATGCACCGATCTTATGCCGCCTACTGAGTTAGTGCCAAAATATTTCTTATGCCTTGCAGATATGGGCTGTTATTGCAAACATGTTGAGTTTACTTGTGACTGTGTGACTCGTTTGGTTGCTGCATAGCTCTGCCGGCGTTATGGGCTCCTGGTACTGACTATCAAAATGCACGATATTTCAATGAATTCCAAATGAATATCGCGTGAATATATCAAATGAATATCAAAGTTGAAGATCAAACAGATTTTGAACTTCAATGTTGGGAGATATTCAGTTGATAATCACACGATATTCACGGAATGATAGTGCAAATAGATAGTGATGACTAGGAATCCATGATGCCGGTAGAGGTATTTACCACGCAAGCGCAATACGAACCAGACCACGTGACCTTATAGAACACTATTTTTTTGGATAAGGATTGAGGAAAAGGTTTAAGAGACAGACTTTCCTGTGCTTTATAGGTACACACATAACTACGCACAATTAGTTAAACATCACATGAAGATGATTCAGGGTTAAATAGATAATATTAAGTAATGAAACAGTAAAAGTGGGGGTTTTAAATAAAAAACAAATAGAGAAAGACAAAATTGTTAGTACGTTTGTGTCTGCGCGTATATATATATCTACATACATATGTTGAAAACGTTATATATAAACAAATCAATTAATATTAGGTTCGAATTTCACAATAACCTTAAAGTAATTATTTATGCCTGTTTAGATTTTTATTAGTTGGATTCTACCTCAGAAAAACCAAATAGGTTGAACAAATGACGTGGTTTTTGTTATACAAACAGGTATTCCCAAGGTCACACGTTTTCCACAAAAGCTGTGAAAATGACTCAAAATGTGAAACACAGTACTAGGAGTTCATAAATACGCAGACCTTAGTCGACTGCTAAAATATGTCGATTTTCTTCAGCGTTGATCCTATTTGAAACCTTAACAAAGAAGATTTAAAGTTAAAAATGACTTGTAAGCTCTCCTTTAAACACGTGTACATACATTGTAAACAAACTAGACAAAATGGTGACATACAATTAATTTGTAGGTCTGTAACATGAATACTATAAAATTTTAACCATAAAATGCTCAATACGGAACATACAGAGTGGCCGGGGAGTTAACGTTCAAGCGTATTTAGATACTTTATGACGAGCAGTATGCAAAGCACCCCCATTGATTGTTTTACAATTTTGCGTAGTTTTACTAAAATTACGAAAGAAAACATAAAAAATATAACTCGAAAACTAGGCAAAATCGTCGAACATACATGGATGTCATTTGAACACTCCTCGTCATAAAGTATTTAAATTATACGCTTGAACGACAACTCTCCGGCCACCTGTATAATTGCAGAAATAAATGTAAATGTTTTCCATTGTCTAAGAAACATGCTTAACTCTGATGAAAGAAATACAACGCTAGAGTAGTTCGGAATAGAAACATGTCGTAATGGATATACCATTATTTATTGCTTAGTCATTGTTTTACTCTTTTTTTATTCACGTAGTGTTTTCTACTTTTATACGTGTTTCTGTTCTTACTGGTACTGTTTCTTATAACATATAACA